TCAGGCTGGTGGAGGCTCTACCCTCTAGAACAGCAGTCACCAACCGGTGGTCCGTGAGATCCGACTGAAAAAAACTGGTCTAGTGCTGGTCTAGAATGTCAATTGTTGTGACAGAAAGAAGAGGTGAGTGGAGAAGTCTCATATCAGTTCTGCTATGCTTAAGTCTAGGAGCGACACTGCACTTTCACTCACAGTCCATTGGCCAAAACTAGCCACCAAGTCTCAATCACCTGTAAATGGGGTTGGGAAACATGGGGTAGTAGATGGAATGTTGGGTGAGCACCACTCTTTCTGCCACAATATTCAGGTTGGAGTATCAGGCAGGTATGAATATTGTGCAGACTTCCATGTACAAGTCATAAGCAGATAGGTGGCATTTAGAGCCACCCTCACTTTCTCATAATCTGAATCCCCATGGACTAATAAGGGCCATGTTATCATCTTTTTCTGGTTTGAAGGAATAGGAAATCCAGATTGATGGATATTCTTCAAACTTCCTCACAAGACAGACTGGCTAGGACTGAAGGCAGTTTTTGAACCTTTCTGAGAGGAAAGACTTAGTCCTGGAAAACCCTGCCTAGAAACAGCCTCATGCTCAGAGCAGAGGAACGGGGCTCAAAGGTGAGAAGGGACAAGTGAAACTATCTGCAAAGATATTGAGGGGCCAGATCACAGAAGAAAAGCCAGTTTTCTGTCGTTGGTAACAAAACTCATGCCAGCCGCTACCACTAGGTGTCACTAGTAGGGAAGGAAAGAATGAAAGTTAGGAAGAAAGTGCCTCCAAATGGCCTCAGGTACACCTTCATGGGAGCCTACACTAGCTGGAACTGTTCTAATTAAAAAAAAAAAAGGGAAGGGAGGGGGGAGGAGAAAAGTAAAATGACAGTATGAATCATAAATTTTATTCTGAGCTGTAATGACTTTCAAATGGACTTTATGGGCTCCTGCTTTTAATTCATGAGCATGCCTACGCTGCATGGGTGTGTGCGTGTGTTTGTAGACCTGAGTCTCAGAAATGGAGAAAGGTAGTTTTTTTCAGCCTGCCAATTCAGCTTTCAAAGCGTTTTATTTTATTTTATTTTTTAAAATATATTTTATTGATTTTTTACAGAGAGGAAGGGAGAGAGATAGAGAGTTAGAAACATCGATGAGAGAGAAACACCGATCAGCTGCCTCCTGCACATCTCCTACTGGGGATGTGCCCGCAACCCAGGTAGTACATGCCCTTGACCGGAATCGAACCTGGGACCTTTCAGTCCGCAGGCCGATGCTCTATCCACTGAGCCAAACCGGTTTCGGCTTTCAAAGCGTTTTATATTTTACATGACTAATCACACTATTACTTTCGGTGGAGATTTAAAAAAAAAATTCCCACTTCTTTCTCATTCTGTATGTATATATTCCTGTATATCTACTGAGGTCCTCAGTTTATTCAAAATCAGATTTAAGGTCAGTGGATCTAAGATGTGTCTTATCTTAATGCTCAGCTTATGCCTGCCGGGGTCCAGCCCCAGTGGTCCAGGGGTTCCCAAAGGTGTGGACGGAGTTGGCGAAGAATGATGGACTCGGAGACAGCTTTCAGGTGATCAGCATAGCCAGGTTCTCTCTATTGTCCTGTTACAGATGTATTTTATACTACTCGATTCTATAAGCATTCCTCTATATCATGGTATGTTTTGGGTCCTCTCTTGACCTTCTACAGTTCCTTGTTTTATGTTTATAGTTTCTTATCTGACCTTTGCTAAAAACCTTACCTTTATCTAGCTCTGTTGATTTTAATCCTATCCATTCTATTCCAAAGGTTAGGGCTAGTTTGTTAGCTCCATTCCAAGGTCACTACTCTACTGTTCTGTTAAGCTACAAGGCAGTAACTGAAGGAGAATGGCCTAAGTAAAGATCATGTAGCTTAAGCGTTGATTGTAGTTAAGGTGATTAACTACCCGCCTGGCACTAAATTAAGGGGTTTTACTGATTTATTCCCTTCCTTAGTCCTGTTAATCCCTAACTCCAGGGAAACATCCCCACCTGGGGAAACAACCTTTCTCGGGGAGGTGGGCCTGGTTAGAACACATAGTGCTAAGAAGGGGAGCAAACATATTAAGAACAGTATGCCAGGTCCCTTGAAACATATGATGTGCAGATGTTTCTTCCCTGCAGCGACTGTGTCAAGTAGCAAGGATGGACCAGCTTCCGGCATATGCCAAAGCAAAAAAGAACTTTTCATTAGAAATAGCAAACCTTACTTAGTCCTTCAGTGACACCAACTGAGGACTACTAACATATTCCATGTGTCAATAAAATAATTTGGGATTGCTAACAGATCATGTAAATTATAATAAATCCAAATATATTTTATTATCACTTCGGTAAAGCAATTCTTCAAAACTAGATGTTTAATTTGTGCTTGAATCCATGAAACAAACGGGCAAACTGGAAATTATCCCATAAAATACAACTATTATCCTAAAGCTATACTAAACATAATAAAAATCTGAAGAAAATGGCATTGTAAGCAAACCCATTATTCTGGGCTTCTCAATCTTTTACATGTTTTGGCTCAGAGAAAAAAAAAGTCATTTGCATGGCATTTGGGGATAAATGGAAAAGGCTTCTGGGTTTCAGCAGCCCAAGGCCCCATTGGCAACTCAAGGATCTGAGATCAATATATCAGGATATTAAACAGACTGTGGTTTTCAACCTGAGGTCACACTGGAATCACCTGGAAGTTAGAAAAAATGTATCCTTCTCCCCTTCAAGATTTTTACTTCATCGTTCTGGGCATCAGGACTTTAAATACCCCCAGGTGACTCTAATAAGTTTAGCCAGAGTTAAGAACCACTGCATTAGAAGACAGTCAAGAACACTTTAAAAACACACACACACACATGCACACACATCAGAGCACCTAGCTGCCAGTTTTGAACACAAGATCGTTGTTGCTTTTTAAATTCGGAGAAGTATAAAGAGAAAAACAAAGTTGCAAAGTTCAAAACATGAAAGTGAAAATCTTTCCTCGTTCCTCCAAGAAACCACTAAATAATTTTTTTTTAAGAAAAAGCTTATGTACATACCTACGTATTTGTATCTCGAGAAACAATCTTCTACACTAAAGAGGGTACACACAGTATTCCATGGCTACAAGCAATTCGCATGTCTACACTGTATTTCCTGTAACCATTCTTCCTTGCAATAAAACATCTTAAATGTGGTGAGATCAACAAATATTTCAAAATAAATGGATGCCACTTACGTTTGTGAAATAGAAGGTTAATGAGACTTGGTTCGAAGGTCCCGGCAGAGCCTGGTTGGTCCGCGGTGCCGTCTAGTGGTTCCCGGAGACCGGCGCGCCGGGGTCACGTGGGCGGCTCGCCCCGCCTCCCGAGGCTCGGCCGCTGCCCGCAGCCCCGGCTCTCGCAGTAGCTTCTCGCGGGGTCCGCGGCGGGCCGCTCACGACGAGGAGAAGCGAGGGACTTGAAGGTAAATTCTGTTCCGGCCGCGGAGCTCGGCGGCCGCGCGTGGGGCGGGGCGGGGCTCGCGGGGGCCGCTGCTTCCGGCTGGGAGGCGGGCCTGGGCTCGGGCTTCCGGCGACGGCGGCCCGCGCGGCATGGTTTGGTATGAAAGCTGTCATGTAGTTTTGCCTCTCGACCCTATCCAACCAAGCGGGTACA